CCACCTTTGCTTTTTGAGAATGTGGTGGACTCCGCGTGAATCGTTTCGTTGGGCGATTCCCTGTCCACCGGCGATGTTCCTTCTTCAAAGAGATGGAATTTCTGGGAAAGTCATGCGGAGGAGAGAAGCCCAAAACGGTTGCCGTTTTAATTTTGGACCCATGTCGAGACTTAATCCTATATTCTTCTTCTAGTGGAACTTCCCGATCTTCGCGTTGAAGTCGCCCACAACGAACTTGTAGAAGGACTTCTTGTTGCCGACGACCTACTCCACGTCTTCGTAGAAAGCATCTAGCTCTGAGTTGTCAGCTGCTGATGTTGGTGAGTAGCAGTTAATGATGTTAATGGTCTTCCGACGTGGAGGTTGTAGTCGTAGGATGGCTAGTCGAGGTGACAGGATCTCATGCGAATCGACAAGATGGACGATAGATGGTAGGACGACAATTTTGACGCCTCCAACGTTTCGTGATAGAACCTTTTCACCACGAATGATGAGGGTGCCATCACTCATCTTTCGCACGTCCTTCTTCTTGGACTTCGTTTCCTGCAGAGCGATAACGTGATACTTGATGTGCTCTGCAGCGTGGAAAAGAGCGCGGAGGTCGGTGTTTGTGGAGACTGCCCTGGCGTTGCAAGTGCAAAGCATGAGGCAGTCTTTATGGCGTGTTGTCCGGGCCTGTCAGACGTGTCGTTTTTGTCCGATCCAAAAGGCGCCCCAAGGACCCTGACGTCTTCTTGCTAGCAACCGGCGCCGTAGGCTGGATCCGACGTGCAAGGTTTAATTCTCTTCTCTTTGCGTTCGATTAATAAAAATGTTTCCCCTACAAGAGCAGACTTATTAGGCCTACTCTTGATTTCCACGGGGAGATCGCCAACCTGAATGTAGAACCGGAAGAGCCGCCTAGCGAACAGAAGACTAGACGGCGGTGGATTCTGGCCTGGTCGGCTCTTAGCTAGGCACCTAGCCAAGACCGAGAACGTCGAACTTCCTCACAGCTTGGGAGGCCCTGCCAGAGTATACAATCGGCTGCATCGCAGATCGACACTCAGTGTCACCCTCACGCCACGATGAGGCGGCCGACCATTGTGAGGGTTGTTTAGAGACACCTCGTGCAATTGTAAGCTTTTCGGCCAAGTCAATCCTTTCTGTCACATTACTTTAGACAATCTCCGGGAGCGGGGGATCCGCAAACTCGCGCTCTTTTGGAGACGTTCAGCAGTTTTGGGGCGTGGTCAAACCTTCAGCGCGCTGTACTCTTTTTGTTCTGCCAGCCGGCAGCAATACAGAATTTTCTGCATTGCTGCCGGCTGGCAGGGTTAGATTACGCCCCAAAACTGCTGACCGCGCACATGAACCAATATTTTATTTCAGCGAGCGCTAGCCAAATTTTCAGTGAGCGCTCGGACCCTTTCACGCAGTTTCGTGCGTACGTCGAGCTAAGGTAAGAGGATCTACAGTGCTGGCCATAGCTATAAAGCCACCCTAGAAATCACTGCAATTTACCCTGTTTTGCACAAAATTGTTTGAAAAACCACTATTCTGTTTGTGGACCAACGCTGTTGTCTAGAACGGCTTTCAATTTTATTGGTTTTACTCGGAAAAAAATTGAAAAATTTGAAAAACCTTGAAGGCTGATCATAAGGCCACGTCTTGTTTCCAAGCAATACGCCATCATATGAGCCTAGAACTTTTTGTACAGTCATAGCATCAATATATGAAATGTTTGATACACTTGAGAGCTGTTCTTCTAGAAAAAGAATCTATACTGCTTTTTTTTGCTTCAGAATGCATAAAAGGCCACATAATTTAAAAAAATTGCTGGTTTACTGAGTTTTCAAGCACTCATTTAACTCGGATGAATGTATTAGGATTTGCTGAGTTTTTGATAAATGCGATGAAGGGCACTTGAGTCAATTTTGCGTAGTCGCTGATATTGATGAACGTTAGTACGCCTCAACCTTATCATGGTTTTAAGTACTCTTTTGAGCCACAAAACTCACTTTCTAACGCGCAAAAATTGCTGGCCAAAGGTTGACACTATGTTTGCATGACGGCGTACTAACGTAAAAGTTGTCAGAATTTTTGCAAAGACGCAACCGCTACGTCGAAGTCAAATGCTTCATCTGCAGGTCAGTTGTACGCAGAGAATCTAACGACTTCAAATTTTGATTCTTAACTCTTCATCAAACCAATTCTTACGGAACTATTAGAATCACTGGAATTTCAAAGTTTTGAGCGGTTTTCCGTGCGATCGAATGGTTTAGAGTAGGTCTTGATTACGCAGTGTGCGTTACCCATTTCCAAAGAAAGCGCTTAAGGCAAAACTTTGATTTCAGAAGTCGCTTTGATGTTTTAGCCGTGCGCACACGTTTACCATTGAATAGATGACTTACTGAGCACATGACAGAGCTTCACGAGCATCAGAACTGAAATTTTGTGGTTCTAACGCTTGCTTATCTGAAAGTGAGGGAGTCTCTTTCATCAATATCAGCCACTACGCAAACTGGACTCAAGTTTTCTTCATCGCATTTATTAAAAAGGCTCAACAAATCCCAATACCTTTACCTGAGTAGAAAAAGTGCTTGAAAACTTAGTAAACCAGCAGTTTTTCAAAATGTTGTGACTTTTTATGCATTTTGAAGAAAAAAAAAGCAGTATGAATTTTTTTTTCAAAAAGCAACAGTTCCCTGGTGTAACAAATGTTTCATATTTTGATGCTATAACTGTATAAAAAGTTCTAAGTTTATCGGAAGTGTTGCATTGCTGTTGTATTGCTTGGAAAAAAGACTTGGCCTTATAGCTACGACCACCTTCAAAACAGGTTTTCAAATTTTTCAGTTTTTCTCTGGACAAAAACAATAAAAATGAAAACCGTTCTAGACAAGCGTTGGTTCACACACAGAATAGTAATTTTTCAGGCATTTTTTCTTCAAAAACAGGGCAAATTGCCGTGATTTCCAGGGTGGCTTCACAGCTATGGCCAGCACTGTATATGGCAGAGGTGTCATCGATGGTTTAATTACCCGAGTTTGGGGTACTTTCTCTCAGCGGAAAATGCACGGATTGTGCGGTCCTTCGCAAAGGACCGTGCGTCCTTCAATCATTTTGCATACTCTCTCGGATAGTCCGCGAGAATGCGGCCACTGCGCCGCAACTAATCTATGAAAGAAAGCGCGATTGTTCTTCATGTTTGCGTCTAGAGATTGCCAACATTCTTTCAAATATCTGCAAGCAGATCGCAAGAAATCAGCGAACTATTTCTCGGAGCCCATTGCCCATAAATCTCATGGCTGCCTCGCCATACGGCAACAGACCGCCTTTTTCATAAGCAAAAGAATGAACAGATATCAAAAATCTTTCTGCTGGGATATCAAAGCGGGCTACTTTCCACTAAAATTTATAAGCACAGCATGAGCAGCTTTCTTAGCTTGGTCATACTGCTCCGTATGTTCCGAAACAGTTCCAGCATTGTGCTCAAACAGTGCGCTGTGCTGGGACTGTTCCGGAACTTGAATCAGTATGAACACCTACCCTCAATAATGCATACGTCTTGGCTCAAAGTAGCCGCCTTTCAAGGAGATGGACAGAAATGAAAATGCTACGCTCTTATGCAATAAAGTAATACGGACTGCACAAAAGCGAGTTTGGCTCACAATGATTGGAGCCGAACTTCGTTCCTGCGTTGCTTATACTCTTGAAGACTATTTCAATAATAAGTTAAATATGCTAAATAGTGATAAAGCCTTCTGCCTAGGGTAACCGCGCATATATTTCACTTGAAGGTCCCTAGGTAAACATCCCTTAAGTTCGTCATTTCAGAAAATATCTGATTTTTTAGTAATTCAAACAACATCTTGAAATATTTCATTCAAGCTAATCAGCTTTTTCACTTTAGTCATCCTTATTTGCTTCGCCTTTAAATCTAGTAATTGCGCAAGTGATGTTGAAAACAGTCTGACCTGTTTTTCTGTCTCCATCTAACTGATATACCGCTGTTAAACAAAAAAACGGCATCAAACCACCAAACTCAGACAACTGACGGAAACTTCTGCAGGACTGTATTTCCGCCGGGTTATAACCGGGTAATTACCCGTAGAAACAATGCAAACCATACAACCATTGCATGAAGTGCTGCAGAAATGGTGCAAAAATGGGGATTTCTCAGCACTTTGTTGGGGATTTAGCAGGTCTTCATGAACGATGCTGTAAAAGTTTCGATTTTCATCGCTTTGACGCTAATTTTCTGCGGAAATCCCACATTTTGTGCACTTTCTAACTGTTAAGAAAGTGCTACGGAAAACCGTAAATTCTTCTTCTTCTGCGAAAATCCAGTGAGGTGACAAGGAAAGGAAGTTTAGTCGAAGTGGTCTTTCAATTATAAGTGTTTACCGCCTTAAAAGTACGAAATACTAATTCCAAATCTACACTTTTCACCTGCTGCGGACTTTTAGACTAAAAGTTTTGAAGGTTTTTACGGGCAAAAATTCCAATGTATAATAGTGTAAAATCAGCCGCCAATTTTGCTTGAATAAGGAAAGATGGATAGATGGATAGGCGTTAGATGGGTATGTTATTAAAAATATGCATTGCACGGAGATACTTCATTATCATGCAATTTAGAAAAAATGTTATAACCTTTATTCTGATTTTATTTTAGCTGCACATGCCAATATTCTCTCCCATAAAAATCTTTGACGACTCATCGCTCAGAGACCCGCAGTCGATAAGGAAGGTAAATTCGGAATCAGCGTTTTGTACCCTTCAAGGCAGAAACCACCTCATATTAAAAGGCTACCTCGACTAACCCTTCCTTCCCTTGTGAGAAAGACTATAAAATGTTAGTGCAACTAATCACATCGCTTTGATCCTGACTCTTTGTTCTATAATGGTATCAATAGGCTTTGTCATCAAAGCTGTAAAAATGGGTAGTGAAATAACAAGAATTCAAATTTATTAATGCAATTTCGCATTAAATGTACGACAAACCAAAATTTTGTCTACTACTTAAACGGTGCCGAAAATCGACGTCCAGGGTAGGCATAGCGCATAGAAAGATTTGGGTCCGGGTAGATCATTACTCTTTGAATACGGTGATCTCTTCGAAAAGGTCGGCCGGGTGGTTGGAATTGCTGAAATTGTTGTGGTGGGCCCATTGGACGATTCCACCCCGGTGCCGGGTAAGATGGGTAAAATGGATAGTTCGCTTGAGCTTGCACGAGGGCAATCAGTACCGCCTAAAATCCCCATTTCATCTCGAGATGCAATTTTAGGATGTGATCGCTGTACCGTGAATATTGTTTTGAAAAGTAGCATCGTTGCTAGCAACTTTCACTTGCTATCCTAAAATAAAAATTATCACTGGTTTTGAAATAGATATTGGCGAACTTGGACGAGGTTGAATTATGGAGGAATAACGGCATAGCAGTTTGCAGATGCAAAATGTGAGCTGAATAAATGTATGCTACGGATGCTTTATATTTGAACGTATATTGACTGATTGGACTATAAGGCTTTGAGTGCCATTTTAGCACGTAATGTTTCCACTTTGGCTAAAAGCATTTCTGATTTGCTGATTGGCCTGTATACTGCGTTCAATTAGATAACGATGAAAGGCTGCATTTTGTATGAACGCTTTTGTCCTCTGCTATCTTTGGAAATTCTTGTCTAATTGTTGCCTAAGTGATCGGATGGAAACTTCACGCAGTTTTTGATTGATTCATGTGCTATGAAGCTGCCATTTATGCCTACTTTGTCAAGTATTGCTATCATGCTATTACCATCTATCATCCAATGATAGAAGACAGAATTTGCTACAACAACTCTTTGCTCAAAGTTGGAATTATGGTGTTCTAATTTCTGTTCTTGAACTAATGCAGGCAACAAGGTTTATTCCGAAGGTTGGAACAAATAGTAGCGCGCATTGCCGAGAAGAATAAAGATTCAGAGACTGTTAAGGCAAAGACGCTTGTCTTAAAAGTTGCTAGCCTTTTTAGCAGATGTTAAATGCAGATTACACTCAAACGCCGGGAAGTTCCGGCGATCATTTATGATCTTTCCGGCTAAACTTCAAGCCATTTATGATCTTTCCGGCTAAATTCGCATGGCGGAAACAATATCAAAAAGTCCAAAATCAAGAATTTCTTTGAATTATTGCTGAAAGCTACCAAAATGTTTTAATGAACGTTCAAAGAGCTGTTTTGCTTTCATAAAGGACTTTTAAACAGCTTTCGGGTCATTTCAAATGCTCTTTACCTCACCGGAAATTACTTTGAAAAAACATGTCAAACTGGCCCCAGGGTCACATTTTTGTCTCAATACGTGGCAAGGAGACAGTTCTCACAAAATTTGTGAAAATTTTCGTGCTCTCGCGACAATTCAGCAGCTCCGCGCATGGGCCGCAGCGTTTGAGCAGTCCGTGCGGTCAACGAATCGACGATACAAGAAGTAGTGTGAAACAATTCTTAATAGCTTACTGTTTTCTACTGTCTCGCCCCTCTTTACAATGAGGATTAGACTGTTGTGCGGCAAAATTGAAGGTGGTTGTGTGGTTCGCAAACGCACGTTCCCTCTCAAACACTATTTTTTGCTTAGAGCAAAATTTTTAATTTTCAATAGACTTCGCTTTCCATTCACTGCGTCCGGCAGTGGTTATTGTGAAACTTTCAAAACGACAGAAAGTACTGTCTTTTCTAATTCAACATTTATTCTCTCACAAGTGCTTTTTTGACCATTGCTGCTTGACTGAACCTGTAATTATTCATGCGTGCATGAAGCTCTTGATTGTTAGCTGATTTACATCACAAGATATCACATTGAAAAAGCTTGTGTAAATTTATACGGCTTCCCAAGGCATAGTTGTTTACTGCGATAAAATCAGATATTTAATCAAGAGCTTTGTGCTATTTTACTCTAAGGACCAGTTGCGACTGCCAAGGAGAACGCTCGTAATTCACTTTAGTGCATTACACTACTGCAAAGCTGTCAAGAGATTCCATTACGTAGCCAGAAACACCTGATGGTAAACCCCTTTCTACAAAATTCTTCATAACCTTCACCATGTCATAGAATAAAGCTCGCACTGTTTATGCTTGTCGATTGGATCAGTGCACATTCGGAAATATATAATACCGTTCATAACTCATCAAAAAGTCGCTGAACTCTACCGAAGTCTGCCGAATCCGCGTCGCAGTTCCAACCCTTCATCTAAGGGCAGACTTGACTAGAAGTGCTCGTTTGGATTTGGTAAGTGCACGGTAAGCGGCCAGATTTGGTGCACTATTGCCTACGGTAGGTCAATTACTGAATGAGTAAGCACGCTGAGTAACCTACAGCTAAGCAAAAATCCAAAAAATTGAAATTTTGTGAAATCCGGCCGCCTCCGTGCACCTACCAAATCAAAGCAAGCATTTCTCTATTTCTCTACATATGAAGATGCGCCTTGCCAAGCTGAGTCGGATGGTGCCCTTGGATTCAGAATTCGACCCCTCTGAACCAAAATAGGCGATGCGAGGCGAAATTCAATGAACTCCAGTGGAGTGCGGTTTTTCTAACGAACTATGAGTGTATTGCTGTGAGGCAAAATTCTCGATCTTCTGCTTTCTGTGTTAGCAACACAACATATTTATTATCATTCTTCTTGAATTGCAAGTGTATGAAAAGGCTGAAATATCTTTATATATGAGACCGTGAGCTTTTGCAAAATGCTAATTTTGTTTTTACAGTCGCCACTAAACTAAGTGTCTTACTTTATGTGCGAAACTAGACTTTTGTGTGTTCACACAGTACTCTAAACGTACGAAAGAGTATATACACTCCACATCAGGCACTCATATGTGCCGTTGGTTTATTTTCTATTAGCTAAGAATCAAGAAGACGAGAAATTCCATATTTTCAGCAAATTGATGCTCTTTTTACATCAACATATATACTACAAGCCCTTAGAAGTTCAACCGTAAAATCTTAATTTTTTAAGAACTCTGAATCCCGAGATATATCGATAGTTCTCACTTTGGAATTCTGAGTCAACATCTCTTGGAAACCGGACTCGGGCCATATCTGACTGAACAAAGATTCCTGAGGGCTCTTGGTAGCATTCAATGCGGAATTTCATTCCTTTTTTAATGTTTCTAATCATTGCAGCGCAGTTGATGAGCTTTCAAAAAACTACGAAAGTCTGCGATCCGTGCTTTTTGAGATGCCCAATATTCACAATTTTTTGAAGATTTTACGTCAATCCTCCGAAGGGAGTCCAAGTAACGATTCGAAAGAGCAAACTATGTAAAGTATGGCGTATCTTTTTTTTCTCATTTTATATCACGCCATAAATTCTTAAAAGATTTATCATCACAACCATCGGATTTTGACTGGCGTACGTCAGCCATATTCGCAACAAACATCAATAAACCTTCGGAATTTAAAACTTCCAAGGTGGTATTATGATTAAGCACTAATTTTGCAAAGCGAATGAGAGTCTACGGAGTCGAAATATCCAGTTTCGAATTTCCCGGGTACAGCCCGGAACGCGTTCGAATTAAGGAATTATGATATTTTGTACCGAAAACTCCAAAGGGGAAACAAAAAACATCCATCAGAATGAGGAGGACAAACTGCATCGAATGACACTCGAGCTGCTCACCCTTTGATTTTCTACGATGTTTCAGTTCACCAAGAATCGAAATTGGTAGCATCAATCAAAATTTTATTGGAAAAATATGACGAGCTATAGATTAGAGAGAATTGTTTTGTATCCTGTAGGGTTTGCTCTAATCACTCGTTACTTGAGCTCCTTCAGAGGATTGATATAAAGATTTTGAAAAACAGCTAAAATTGACCATAGCAAAAAGCATGGATCACAGACTTACGTAATTTTCCAAAAACTCATTAAATGCGCTACAATGATTTTATAGTGAACTATAGTAAAATGACTAGTCACATAGTGAAAGTGAAATCACTAGTCATTGGTCACTATAGTGAAATCATCGAATTTTGGCAAACTCTGTACAAAGAGGTGCGTATTTTACTCTGGAAGCAAAATGACCAAGTACGTAATCTACACTCAGATATAAGCACCCGATTCTTCTGATATATGGTTATACGCAAATTTAGCATACTAAAGGTGACTCGAAGGACGCATTTGAAAAATCTACCCGATCCATTGTTGTTGCACTTACAGGTGAGATTAGTTCAGACTGAAATGGTTGAGCCACAAAAGTTTAGAGTTTATTTTGGATGATTTGAGTCTGAATCAAACCGAACTCTACGGATTGAGGTTGCACCTGCTCAAGAGTTCACAAATCAAGTGCTGTCTATATCTAGAAAAAGCAGTTTAGCTGCTTTGATTTTTTGTTTACTCGGACAAACGCCGGGAAGCTCCGGAGGACATTGAGGAAAGCTCCGGCGGGTCACCTGGGGAACTCCATTGTATAAGTTCGTGAGAACTTTAGCTCTGAAGCTCTCGGACACTTCTTAAAAGATTGTAGTTTGCAGGAACTTCTTCATACAATGTTCTTGGAAAGTCTCCAAAAGACTTTAGTTCACTGGAACTTCTATAGTTGGAGTTCCCAGGAACTTCTTGCTTGATTTCTCGGAGTCTTAGCTTAACCACTTTCATGTTGCCGTAAACAACTCTATGGTCTATATATTTATTGAAGATAAAATGTTTATTTCGCACTCAAAATAAAGACTTCATCGAATAACTGAGCACATATGCACGTGATGAGTATCTGCTTATAAAACGAACAAAATTTTTATCACGGCTGACTGCCTAAGTTTTCACTCCAAGCGTCCATGCTCATTCCCTCTTTGTCGATGCGTCCAAGTCCAACTAGGGCACCCTTCGATTTCTGAAAGTGAATATCTATGTATATAAAATCGTTAACTCAATTCAAAAATGCGGCAGGAGCGGGAAAGCGAGCGTTGGTCCTGGCGCGCGCCCTGTTTTCACGGCTGCCACCGCTCGCTTTCCCTGCTTTCCCTCCCTGCGTCGCAATAGAATAGAAGCCCGAGACATCTCTCGGGCTCGTCGCACGGCTGACTAGACGCTTCTTGTGAAAAACGATGGATTTACGGATTCGGAAATGAATGTGGCTTTCTTCCAGGGAAGATCTATCACTCGAGTTGGACTGTTTTTTTTTGCTATGCATTCTTGCTTATGTGGCGTAATTTTTCATCTCTCAAATACTGATGATAATTTGTTTTTTTCGCTTAGCAATGACTCATCCGATTAACGATTTCGCAAGCAAAAGCACCTTGCATTTTTCAGGGTCTAGACTTTGTGGCGATCAGCCCCTATGGCTCCAATACCCAGTAAGGCCCGGGTGTATGCGGAGGTGATTTGATTTCATACACCCTTGCTTCAAATTTCATATTGTCTTTTTTGATATTGGAAAATATTGCTTTAGGTCATTCCATCGAAGCAGCGAGAATATTGGGATTACGAGTCACTGATCGAATGGGGCAACATTGATGATTATCAATTAGTCCGGGAACTTGAACGTGGAAAATGTTCGGAAGTTATTGATCTTCTTAAGCACTTGTGCTCAAACTGAGCTTTTTGTTCAAGGTTTTCGAAGGAGTGAAGCTCACTACCGCCGAGAAAATGGTAATTAAAATATTAAAGGTAAGGATATAATGAAAATACCTTTTGGGAGAATCTTTCGCAAGCCCATCTTAACTTTATGGATTACAGCCTGTAAAAATGAAGATAAAGCGAGAAATCAAAATCTTGGAAAACTTGTGTGGCGGTACGAATGTTATCGCTTTGTTAGATGTCGTAAAGGATCCAATTTCTCGCACTCCTGCTTTGATTTTTGAGTAAGTTTGAAAATTCGTTCTATTATTGGACAGTGTTGAAAACGCTAGGTGCAGGTATGTGAACAATTCAGATTTCAAGCAGTTGTATGGAACATTCAGTGATTTTGATGTTCGACTTTATATATGAACTTTTGAAGTTTGTCTTCTTTTGACATTCACAATGTTTCTTAGCAGGAATGCGCGAAGAAGTGTTGGCCTTCCTGAAAGCCAGTGCAGAAGTTGATCCAGTGAGCAGAAGTACTGCACGTCGCGGAAGTGGTAAAATTAACCGTGTTTAGATTGGGGGGGGGGGGGGTGGCATAACCTGATGGGAGTGTTTGATGAGGGATTCCGAGGCATCTGTCGGGATCGTGAACGTGGCATTTCAGTGACGAAAACACTTGCAGATGGTTGGACTGCTGAAGATTATATGGTTAGTCGCTCAGGTCTGCTTGCTGGAGAATACCGCTTTTTCCTTCTCTACACAAAAACTACATCAAATAATGGCGACGGCGACAGCAACAAGTTTGCAGGCAGTGTCTTGACAAAGTTTCGTTTTTCAGTTTTTCATTTTTTCGGAGCACTTTCGCCATCAGGAACCCATATCTGGGTCTAGCGCGTGAAAATGGCGAAAATGAGCTTTTCCAATGTTTCCCAGATCCTCATTCAATGAAGAATACGTCCGAATCGGGGCCCGGAACGAGTGAGGCGGGGTACGGAGTACTTGCGGCGTATATTCAGTGAATGCGGACATGGAAAGCTTCGAGAAAAGCTCATTCTCGATTTCCGTGCGCTGAAAAGCCCAGATATGGACTTCGGAAAGCTCCGAAAAGGTGAAAAAGTGGTAAACAAATTTTGCGGAAACACTGCCTTCAAAAAACTGCCCTAGCAAGCCAGCATGGAGGACATGCAGCGAAAGCTCAGTATTGCTTATTTTTAAGATTATCAGTTGATCAGGTTATTATGAGCAAAAAAGAAAGTTTCGCATGTGGGCAACAGAAAGATTAGTGGGATAATTTTTCATCTGGAAGTGATTCTTTATTTGCAGTTAATCAGTTGCTATTTGCTTTTTCAGAATCATTGCCTCTTCGAGGCTGTGCACTACAGGGTTGTTTTATACTGCCGCGCTGAAGCAGCTGACCGCAGCTGACTGCATTGACTGCAGCTGACTGCAGCGGCCGCAGCACGTTTACGTAAACGTGTAGGTAGGCGCCAGACTAAGCGACTATTTTGTTCAGCTGCAAAAGGCGCACAGAATTAATGTCTGCTGCTTAATGTCTAGGCCTGCTTCAGCTGCATCCGCGCAGAATTAACGTTAATTTTGTGCGTCTTTTGCAGCTGAACAAAATAGTTGCTTAGTCTGGCGCCTAGTTTACGTAAAAAGAAAAAACGACCTCGGTTACGGCCGGAACACCTCTACAGCGTCTAAAAAGATTATAAGTTCTGATTTCACTCTCTTCACTCCAAATTTTCTTTCTTTTTACATGACAAGCTGTGGTCGCTGCGGCCTCATTACGGTAGCTGCAATCAGTTGTAGTCAGTTGCAGTCAGCTGCGGTCATGCGGCAGTATGAAACCATTCATAGCTGAACGACGTCTAACGAAGTTAGTGTAGAAGACATGGTCGAATAAAAACCATAAGGATGGGCATGTCATTCTGAAGCGAATTATCGATTCTCTTCTTTGCAAAAGTTGCATACTCTTTCACCTATTGGCACTATGGTATCATCACCGTGTCATCACCTAAGTGCTAAATGACTGTGAGACTCAATCGGGAATCACTTCTCAATTTCAGTGCCATTTATCTTTCTGGAATGAAATGAAATGAGAGAGAGTGCATTTCATTGCAATGCATTTGCAAAGTGATTTATCTTCCTCAATGAAATGCTGTAGGATTGTACTGTGGATATACTACGGCAAAAGATGTTTATAAAAGAAGTAAGTGAAATCTCCGAATATCGAAGTTTTCGATAATCCCTAGCTCGCGGTCTAGGGATCGTCGAAAAATTCACAACTTTCATCCATTTCTCCTGTCGAAAACATGCTTAGCAATGCTGTAGTATATCATCATAATCATAATATCATCTCATCTCATATCTCACCAGTGCGTCACCTCTGCTTCGCAGAGGCTCGCACTGGTCTTACTTCATATGCCTTACTCATTCTTGACTAATGGTGGCAATGAAACTCACCGCGCAGTGCTTATCGCGAGTAAAATGTAAACAACTATCCATTTAAAATGCTTTTTCATGTGGGATCGGTGATTTAGCGTGAACGAAATTTTTCGCAGAAGAACAAATACAAATTTGAATAGGTTTTTGGAGTCTTTCTGGCTTGGTAGCTACCATAAGGACAGTAGGCAACGTGAGCTACATCTCTGTGCAAAATTTTTCTCGAATGCTCAGGTAAAACCATGGCAAATTAATCATTTACGCAACCATTTTTTTTGGCGTCGTTCTCCTAAAGTCGTGAACTTTTGTCCACTTTTTTGGACTAAAGTTCATGGCTTGCACATCAGCGTGCCAAACACATCCCCAGCTTTGCAAAAAGTGGTGCTACGGAATCAATTTTGCCTGCGAGAACCCAAGTGGTTTCGTTTGACGCGCAGTTTCTCAGGGATCCACCCAACAAATCCACTCATGCTTTTGCCCGGTAGGTTCTTATGTTGGTCGCATGCGATGTGCAAAATTTGGGCTCAGGACGTTGGCTGGAACTCGCACTACGAATTTCGTTACAGACAGACACACAGACATACATACATACATACATACGTACACACACACACACACACACACACACACACACACACACACACACACACACACACACACACACACACACACACACACACACACACACACACACACACACACACACACACACACACACACACACACACACACACACACACACACACACACAAAAACACGTAAACAACCTTAGCCCGTTATTATAAGTTATGATAATATATAAAATCATAGCCGCAATTTGAAAATGCGGCACAGAGCGGGAAAGCGAGCGGTGGTCCGGCGCGCGCGCTTTGTTTTTCACGGCTGCCACCGCTCGCTTTCCCACTACTAGGAAAAACTCTTTCTCTTTCTGTTTTTTTATCTCTTTCTCTCCCACCTCTCCCTCTCTCCCCTCTCTCTCCCTCTTCCTTTCCCTTTCCCTCTCTCTCTCTCCGAAGACATGTCTTGGTTAGGTCCACCTCGTTTCCAAAAACCATGTGATCGGATTCGCGTGAGCACTGCCTTCAACTTTACATTGAAAACAGAGTGCGTCGCAGTTGTTAGTTTTGCATGATTGAGCTCATAAAGAAAATTGTTTTCATAGTTCATTTTTGCCTTTTCAGGTGATCAAAAACCCTGTCTCCAATTATCTGCCTGTATTATTACTATAGGATTTGCTTTTGCTTTGTTCATAAAGTGTAAACCGTTTTTCTTGTAATTATCATTTCAGTAGAAGAGTTGTGCCCGGATTTTCAATTAATTTTTTTCTTCGCTGCGATAGAAACTTTCCTTAGCATTTAGGAGAGGAAGTGCATCTTCAATCTCTTACTATTTCAGTCGTCCACAAACTACAGATGAGGAGCTTGATGAAATTATGACTGAACAAGAACAGGCGGTTGCACAGAAGGCAGCTGGAGAGTTTCAAGCCATGTTGCAGCAAATGGTGAAAGTCCAAGAGGTACTGATTTTTGAGTTGGTTTTTCTCACCTCAAGTGTGTATCTTGTGTTCTATAGGAGGCACTGCGACAAGCTGAGAGCTCTGGCCAGCAAGCAGTTGAAAATGACAATCTATCTATATATTCAAACTAGTTGGCAAACCCGGCTCCGCCCGGGCCTGTCAGTAATATATTTGTAATCAGCATGCTCGATTACCCCCCCCCCCCCCCCCCCCCCCTGTGCCAACTCCCAGCCCTGTAGCTCAAATTTTGCAAAAAATCGATAAAAACGATATCGATCGATGACCAAAAGTAGCCTATGACACCCTCCCTGCCCCGAAGTGTATGTGTGCCAAGTTTGGTCCGAATCGGTTGAGAAATGGGATTTTCTATTCGGAACATACGTACACACATTCATACATACAGACAGACAGAAGATTAGGATCGCATTACAGGGAATCTTGACGAAGGCTGCTGTACCAGATAGCTGCAAATCCTGACATTTACCCGAGTAAAGACCTGGTAGGCATTGCTGTGCGGGAAGTGATAGAGCAACGATCAACCGATTGGCTCTTATCAAGAACATCTTGCGTTTTGGACAGCTTTTGTAGTGCAACAGTCATTTTTAGGAGACTCTTGCCTTGGCGGCAGATACAGCTGCGAAGTTTCTTCAGTGCGAAGTTGCAGAAACAAAAGATGGGGAGCAGAGCGTTTTTGCTTCCACAAGCAGATGTTCCATTTTTGTTGCCACTCGTGCTGCCACCGTACTCCACGTAATCCTAGCCGAGGAATTGTTGACTAGTTTCCAGATGACTATGATTATCTGTTCATAATCATGGTCAGTCAACTTTTCGTTCATGCTTCTTTGTTAGTATTTTCCTTCTAGACTGGCCGACTTGCAAATGCTGATTCCGTCGAATGTCGAAATTTATGTGTACGAATGACTGGACTAGCAAGCTGCCTTGATGAGGACATAATGAAAGACCACGTCTCAAGTGTGCATCTTTTCTGGAAGCTGACAACTGCGAAATCAAGGTGAGGTAACGTTTTCCAAGAGGGGATGATGCGAATTCTCATGTTCTTGGGTGGCATCCTCAGACACTTTTGAGTATTCACAGCAACTTGTTATGGTTTTCATATATAGCGTGTTTCATTACAGATCAGCTTCTTTCAGCTCTATATATTTGCAAACCCCTACCTCTCGAGTACATGTATTTCACATTGCTTTTACAACAGTTTTTTCGTAAATACCCATGCTTTCATTCGGCTACCAATCCTCTCGTGTACCTCGATTTCTTGGTGTTCACTGAGTATGGCTTGGCTGGCTTGTCACTTATCTTCAATAAACAACAGCAGTGTCTCTGGGGTCGCTGTTGCGTTTCTTGGCTTTTTCGTAATAAAGAATATCCAAGCGTTGTGGTGTCAGTAAATACCTGTCAGGAACTAACTTTCGAACAGACTAAAAGCGGCAGTGGCATTCTCCTGTGCCAATCATCAGAACCAAAGAGAATTTTTCTCTTTTTCAGCACTTGTAGCCCTTAATTACTGTTTGTTTGCTCTAGCTGAAGATAGAGGCTAGTCTATCTCTCACTAGCGATGCTCTGTTTATGACAGTGGTCTTGGCACGCTGACGTGTATCAGATAAAGATGAAAAGAGAAATTTTATAGTAATTTATGAAGTGGAGATGTGAGCATGTTTTTGTGCACGGATAAATCAAGTAAGGAAATAAGTAGACATAAGCACCGGAGCCTCTCCAAATCACGCCAAGAACTGGAAAAACATCATCGTCGCGAGCGAGCGACAAAACTAAGGAGAAACTTGTCGCAAGTCAGGTTGCAAGAACATAATGCTAATCATAAGTATCTGAGTGAGTAAGTCGGTTGACAAGAAACTGGAAAAAGAAAGATAATTGAATGTTAAAATGAATTTTTCAATATTTGTGAAATACGGTTTTATTAAGTCTTCTTGGACTGAAATTTTTTACCTTTTCCAGGTTCAACGAGTTGATTATATGCGCTATAGTTCAGGAGCGCTAAGCTCGGATGAAGTGAAGCGAACACATCTCAAAGCAAAAAGCTATTTGCGTTGTTGAAGACTTCAACAAAATCTAGCTTTGCAGAAGAAACGACAATATCACACATCATTGCAATATTTCCTCATCCGTGAAAACATGTGGAGATCCAGAAAGAGAGCACGAATGAGCTTTATACGACAAATTCGCGCCTTGTGGGCTGTAGGTTTGGTGGGGTTTCTAGTCACCTCCCCCTAATCTTCAGGCCCAGTCCGGCTGATCGGTGTCACCTCTACACCGAGAAAACTCTCAAACCTGCCCGCTGGACGGTTTCGCTTACCTATCCAGGTGGGACCCACGACGCTCCGGCATTGTGCTTGCTATCCAAAGCAAACATATAAGCAGCAGGGTCTTCGTGTCTTCGTGCCGGACCTCCCAACTTTCCATGAAACTCTCGCCCGATCCTTTCGGAGATCGGGTAAACGCCCAAAAAATGGTTTTTCACTCTGTTCAAGTCTCAAATTCAGTTGCGTGTCGGAAAGGCTTAAAACATGCAACAAAAATAAAAAAGCAAAATCTGTCGGGACACTGCCTTTAAGCTCAAGTTCGAGTGTCTTTGAAAATTTTCGACATGCATTTAATGTGGAAGGCTTGATTTAATGAAGAAATGGTAACAAGCGTAGATTATCTGACAGTTACAAAAAAGTTGTTTTATACCAAAAGCTGTATGAGTGAGTGTTTTCCTGGGTCGGTATGCTTCCAGGGGGAAAAGCCCTGTTATCTTCTCATTCGATATTGGTGCACCTGACGTGCCTAAAATTTAAAAACTTGTTCGATGTTGGTTTCATTATACAAATGACATCAAAATAAAGGGTAGAAACAGTAAAATTGCACCAAATTGCACTGAATAGAAGCAGTGCAAAGACCAAGCAATCTTATAACTGACTGGCATGAAATCTTGTGATTGGCTGGTTAGTTTTCTTATACGTATTTGTTTCAAGACAGCACTTAGGAAAAGGAAGTTGAATGAAGTTTTCGCAGGTTGGTTACAAATGATGTCACTATCATCTTAGCCAGTTCAATAACATTTTATGTTTCCCTTCTGCTGAACCCTTCGGCTTCGCTTGCAACTTGCAAATGCGGCAAGCGACGTCACCCTTGCCATTAAGTTTTCATTAAAACCTTTTTTGGCCTAACTAACCTCAAATTCGTATTCTACTAAGTGACATATATCCAACAACAAAAACAGAAGACAATCAAGGAGAAATAATTGAAAATGAGTAGGTTCCGATCTTCGAATTCGTCAGATAGAGCATAAGGTATGCAATACAATATTAAGTTACGAATGACTCGACGATACATTGAATGGCAATTGTCTTTGTGCCATCCAAATAATGTTTGCTGTTTAAATGTCACACTAATTTTTTTATCGTAGGTTTTTCCATTTCAAAATCTTCACTAAAATGTCTAGTGCAGCTGTTAACTATGTTAAGCTGCGCAATGCCAAGCCTTATGCATTTTCTTGGGTTTAGTCTACGGCTGGGTAAGGTTCGCTAATATAGCCGCCATTCAAAAGATTTGCTTGCTGGAAAACTCTCAAGATCATTTTGATGGCCGAATCAGATAAGCTGATCTGCTCGTTTGAATACTTCAAAAACCCTTTTTGCTGGCAAACTAAGGCATGAGTCGGACATCAGTGAGTGCAGTTATCTAAATTCATTGTCAAGGGGCAGTATTCATGCAGATTTGTTCAATACAGATTTATGAAGGCTAGGCTTGAGCTGCATTCACTGTTTAAGTTTGTCTCATCTTTAGCACTTTTATGGTTTTTCTTATGTATGAAACACTTCAAGCGTATTGGATGGAAAATGAAGAACGGCTAGAATGAATATTCAGGCATCGCAGTTTTGCATCGATTACAGCAGACTTTGAAAAATCACGGAGTTCGAACACAAACTTTCATCACAGCTGGAAACTAGCATACCTGTCAGTACATCATCATTTCTCTTTCCCGGTCCTATTCTATGTCCCCGTTGTTTACCTCTACTATGTTCTTACCAGCATGCTCACTCACCCGCTTGCGCCAACTCCATGCCTCATAGCTCAAAGCTTGTGAAAAATCAATAAAATCAATGGAAGAAAGGTATACTTTCACGAGCGGTTATTTATTTGTGATCAGCGCGCTCAAGCTTGCCACCTCCCAGTCCTATAGCTCAAAGTTTGTGCAAAAAACCGATAAAATCGTATTGATCAGAGACGAAAAATAGCCTAGCCCCCTCCCCCCCCGAAGTAGTGCAAAGTTTGGTTCGGGCCTCAGAAATGGAGTTTTCTATCCGGAAAATACGTACAAATACATACATACAGAACAGACAAACACACATGCAAATATGCATTCAGCTTTATTATAAGACTAGCTGGCTTAGCCGGCTCCTCCCGGCCCTGTCAAAACACTATGATAAAGCTCTCATCCGTATCCCTGTACAACCTTTCCCTGTGCCCACGTCTTCATGCCATTTCCCTATTCCCGCTGTTTTAGAAATCAGCATGCAAGATTAGCCCCCCCCCCTGTGCCAAATCCCAGCCCCATAGCTCAAACTTTGCAAGAAAAAATCGGATGAAATCGACAAAGCTAATGGATAATTTAACTAATATTGTGTTCGTAATCAGCGTGCTCGATTACTCCCTGTGCCTACTTCCAGCCTCGTAGATCACTCTTTACAAAAAATTGATAAAAATCAATAAAATCGATATCGATCGATGACGAAAAGTAGTCTATGACACCCTCTCCAACCCGAAGTGTATGTGTGCCAAGTTTGGTCCGGATTGGTTTGAATGAAATTTTCTATTCGAAACATACCTACAGACAAACATAGAAAAACACACATTCAGCTTTATACAGGGTGTCCGTAAAGTATGTATGCACTGTTTGATCGTTAATATCTCTCTTCTCAATGAGCCTTTTGCCTTGCTTCAGGCACCCTCTTGTAGAGCTGGCTTCAACTTAGATTTGCGGTATAGAAAAAATCACTCATCTCTCTTAATTATTGTAGGATTACGGTAGAAACTTCAAAGAAGGTTTTGAGCCATAAAAGGCCATATTTTGCCTCAAAGAGGAATTGAAATAGACTGAGAATTTTCACACTAAGCTAATTAGAGTTGCTGATTCTAATTGTAAAGTTCCCAGCTTATTATGATGCTTCATTGGAGATTTATGCCAGGTAAGCATAGCGGTTATTTTTTCAATGTTCCTAAAAGTGCGGTTATACCGCACTTTTTAGGAATAGTAGAGTATTGAACTCAACATCTATAAAAACCCTACTACACAAGTTTTCACATTTTTTTGAAAATTTTTGAAACGGCAGCTTTTTCCACATTGACATCATATGTTTCAAGTTTCTACCGTAATCCTACAGTAATGAAGAGAGGTGGGGGATTCGTTATAATGCAGGTCTAAGTTGAAGCCAGCTCTACAAGAAGGTACTTGAAGCAAGGCAAAAGACCTCTTGGGAAGAGAGATATTAACGACCAAACGTTCGATACATTTTTTTGGGACATTCTGTATTTAAGGCCCTCAGAACCACAAATGCTAAAGTTTTGATCAATGCAATGCAAGATGTACAATCGTCTTATCGAGTTTGGTACTACAGTTACTTCTCCATACAAGATTGGACACTAATATCGAGAGGGTGCAAACAACTTTACCAGAAAGTTATTTTTGAGACTTTCAGGTCCCAACTATACCGAGGATGTAAGTTGAAGCCAGCTCTACAAAACGGTATCTGAAGCAAGGTAAAAGACTTATTCAGAAGAGAGATATTAACGATCAAACAGTGCATACATACTTTTGGACACCCTGTATATGAGATACGTAATCGTATTCGTTATGGCGATGGCTCTGAAAAGTGGAGTTAATCTTGTTTTTCGAAAATACGAAAAAGTGGGGGCTCAAACGACGTCCACAGTGATGTCAGTTGGGCGCTCGCAGTAAGCGGCGTTGTCATGCGGCCCCACATCTGACTTGCGGTAA